GACTCCTCCTTTCCATGATCTTAGGAAAGTTTTATCAGACAAGCAACATGGCCAGAGTCTGATATTCAAATTCCTTTTGTGGACTGTGTCAGTGCAAAAACAACCTGGGCCTTCCTGGTATGACTGGGTATGAGGCCCTTCTTGACTCTCCCTGAGCTGCCTGGGTAATAGCCCATTCAGCAGAGCACATATGGATCTCAAGGTGGAAATTTGGGGCACAGGAATCCAAGCTGTGCGTTCCAATTTAGCTTCATCAGCAATAAAGCTGATATTGTTATCCATATGAGCTTCTTGTCTCTATGTCTTAATTGATCAAAACCCCAAAGGCAAAGGTGTAAGTAATTATTACTTTTCAAACTCAAGCAGTTGTTAAACGTGTGAACATCCATTGACTGTATGAGCAGGTTTTGTTCTGAATCAAATGGTCTAATCCACCAGTGCTTTTGATAGTTCTGACTTCTTCCTCTATCCATAAATGTCTGCCAATACTGTTCTATTCTGCCCTATTTTATATATAATTGTCAGGGTAAGGGTTATTCTCTACCTCTCCTATGGAATTAACTTTTGACTTACTAACTTTGCAACCAGAAGACTGTTCGCTTACCTTCTGGATCTCTAATTATATTCTGTCTGAGTAAGATAGTCTGGAAGGAGTTAATAGGCCCAAATAACTGGGTCAATTTTTTGTATACCAATGTTTTATCTTTAAATGGTTTACATTTTAGACTAATCCAAATAGGCAGAATAGTCTGTTCTTCCTCTGTGGGCTCAGTGCAACATCAAAATAACCTGTCAGATTATCAGAGTATTTTATAAAGCTACCACACTTACAACAGATTTATATTGGTGTGGAAATAAATGAATAAATCATAATAGCACATAAATGACCCAAATAACACCAGAACAATGGCCTTTAAATCAATAGGGAAGTAAGAGTTACTCAATAAATAGTGAGAAAGGGACTACTGGAAGAAAAGTAAAGCTAGGTGCATGTATAACCCCTTATATCTAAAGAGAGCTCAAATATATTTAAGACTTTAAAACCACAACACACAGATTAAATACGTTTTTTTCACAAGTGTAAATCTATGACTCTCCTAAAGCAGCCATGTATTGGAAATCTTATTTACCTCATTATTAATGAAGGAACAAGTAAGATGTTTAACAAAATGGTTCACAAGGAGACTTCAAAGAACAGACACATACATAAGCAATCAGGAGCTGAAATGAATTTGCTAATAGATGCAAAACTGGCCTCCACAGCGAAAACAATTGAATTTCCACCAGAAAAATTATTTTATTTCTCTGGGCAATGCTCATTTCTACACCAATTTACTATAATTTACAGGGCTATAACATAACTAAAAAACAAAAATAAATAAATAAATAAATAAATAAACAAATAAATAAATAAAAAGGAAAAATGTGTATAGACTCAGATAACCCAAAAGAGATATCTGGTATACTATCAAAGTATTCTCAGTAATTTTTTTTTGCCCCTTTCAAAGTCTTTCCAATTTTCCTAACATCTTCCCCTTTTGTGACCATAAAAATCCCAAAGATTATTTTTGGTAATAAAAAAAGGATGGGCTTATTTGGTTTGGCCTGATAATTTTCATAGGTGCAGCAAGTATTAATTAATCATATAGGATTCCCTGGGTTTGCTTTGAAAATTGAGAGCCATGCAGTATTGAACAGCTACTGAAGCCACAGAATTGCACTTTTAAAAGATTCTATTTGGTAGTTCAACGCTAGGGAAGCAAGCCCAAGAAACTCTACCATGTTTCACTTGCAGTATCTGTAAATCTGCGTGAATTTCCCTCTCCTTGAGTTCCTCAAGAAAGTACCCCCCTACTTCTTACCACCTTGAAGAGCAGTAGTGGGATGGTTTTGTAGGCATTGGCTCCATAAGTAAAATCAACCTTTGTTCCTTAGAGCTATGAGACATAACTGATTACATGAGCATCATTCTCAAAAATGACATTTGCAAGAAAGGCCATGGTTATACAACCAATTTTTTCCAATTATGTACCAGTAGAAAGGAAAATATTATTGTTGAACCTATGCAAATAAGTGTATTGTTGTGAAAAAGTAAGGGAACTCAGAACTTTTTAATTTCGGAGTGGTAGGAAGTTCAATGAGAGCCAGAAAAAAATTTTAATTTCACCTTACAAAAGCTGAGTCTATTGGATTGCAGATCAAAAATCTCTTAAGAAGAGTAATGGCCTCCTCATATATCCAGAAAATAGAGCATTGAAACAGCCTCCACAAACTCACAGTAAAATTTCCCTCATCAGCTCATTTCATATTGTGAAATTCTATTCTGTGGGATCTTGGGGTCAGCATTCTGCTAAAGTTGTCTGCTTCTGGAATAGAGTCCTGGATGTCCACAGTCATGCCACAGGTACAGCCTGTAAGTTGTTGAAGCTGTGGCTACTAAAGCTAGTACCCAAGGGTCTATTCTTTGAAGCATCAATAGTTAAATGTACTTGGTACGGTCCAACTACATGAGATTCTAGGGCAGTCTGTCTTTGGTCAAGAACCAGAGTTTGGCCTGTAGTTAGTTACAGAAACTTAGGCAAAGTTTTGGGAAGCAGAAACCTATTTGATAGAGACAGGAAGGCTATGGCTAACATACTATGGTAATTAATGGGCATCCATTCTGTCATAGGTATCCTTTCACACCAGTGTGCCACTGAAGGATAGCCCAGTAATCTTTTTTGCCCACTTCAAGGTCTTTCAAAATTTTCCTGGCACTATCTATCTGTATCTCATATATATAAAATCTTAGAAGAAGGGAAGGCTTTTCTTGGTACAAAATACAGGAGTCAAAAAGAAAGTAACTGACTAATAAATATTTTTAAACTCTCCATGACTTATAAAAGTGCCAAAATGCAAAAACAAAAACAAAAATCCAAGATTAGAGATGAAACACATTTGCCACACATATGCTGCACCTAGTAAGAAGTGACTCTCAAGTTTAAGGTAAAAATCTTCAAAATATTCCCTCGGTCAAATTACCAGACATTTCTTTCTTGATATTCCCACCTATCAGAATACCCAACATCTCTATTTTGATATTCCCACCTCCAAATTGTCTAAAAACCCTTGAGGCATTTGATTCCAGAGCTGCCTGCTTCTGAATTCCAGGTAAAAGAGAACAGGTGAATTTAATCTGTTTACATCAGGCCCCCTTTTCCACTGCAGTGCAGCTTCTGTTGCTGCCACATGGGGTCACTGTTGAACACCAGCCTTGCACAGTTTGTTACATGTGTCTACTACGACAGTGGTGCCCTCATAGTCACCATCCATCACCTCACAGGAAGGAGGAAGGATGGCCTTAATCCATGTGTTGCTATGATAGCTGTCACCTTGAGAGCTCAAGCAATGAATAACTCCTCAGTTTGCCAGAAGTTTGCTCCCAGTTCATGCCCTCCAGGCTGTCTGACTCAAAGGGGGCTCCAATTAGAGCTGCACATTGTATCAGAGCCAACCCTTCCCCTTTCCAAATACATGGGGATTTAAACATGATATTGATCTCAGGTCTTGATTCCAGATGTTCTTATGGTGAGTTTCCCTTTGAGATTCTTAGGACTGTTTCCTGCCCCTTCTGAGATCATCTCAATCTATAAGGTGGGTTTGAAAACTAGTTAAAACTCAAAAGGGAAGGAATTGGGTAGAAGACATAACACTATATTCCCAGGAGATTTCCTGGTGCCTCTGCAAATTTTCCTGACCCTTTCAACAGTTCCTGTGTCAACACACCAAGGGATGTTTGGCTTTGGACAGTCATAATTAAACCACAAAATGTTCCAGTTACATCTTTCCCTGGGGGGATGCCTGCCAGTTTGGCTCCTATATAGAACTTAAGAGGGGCTCCAATTGACTCTTCCTTGCTTAAAGGTGACTAAATTGTCTTCAAAAAAAGTACTGAGAAGTTTAAGGTTTTGTCTACGCAGTCCTTGACTACAGCATAGAGCTAAACTCCTTAATAAATCAAGTTTGAAAAATCACTAAGGAAAAAAAAATTAAAAGCCCAGTAGAAAAATGGGTTCCACAAATATCAAAAGCTAACAGAAAAAGAAACACTTGAAAAGATGTTCAATCTAACAGTCTAAGTAATAGGTAAATATATGGAAATTAGAGGGGGTGCCTGAGTGGCTCAGTCAGTTAAATGTCTGACATCAGCCCAGGTCATGATCTCACACTCATGTGTTTGAGCCCCATGTTAGGCTCTGTGCTGACAGCTCAGAGACTGGAGCCTGCTTTGCATTCTGTGTCTCCCTCTCTGTACCAACCCCTCTTGCACTCTCTCTCTCAAAAATGAATAAACATTAAAATATATATGTAACAATTAAATGAAAATCAAAACATCTGTGTATGCCTTTTAAAATTATTCCTTTCATATTGGCAAAAATCAAAACAGTTGTTCTTACAATTCTGGTAAGAATATAAGAAATATCTATTTTCATATGTGGCTGATGGGAGTGTAAACTGTTAAGATTTTTTGGACAGAGCTTGGCAATATCTATTAATATTGTAAATGTTCTTAACTTTTGCCTTATCAATTCTGAATGCAAATTTTTGTAACTCACAAGGTACAAAAATATGTGAACAATATACTGTCAGATTCTCTTCCTATCTCTTTATCTCAATTCATACTCTGGCCTTTCTTTTAACTGTTTCTGTTGTCCTTTGTGCTGTTTCTTCATCTCTTCTCTTAATAAGCCCTAGAACAGTCCATATGTTAACATTCCTCCCAAATAAACCCAGCCCCCTCAGGCTTCCAGTTAGCTTAGTTCCATATCATAGATAGAAATCAGAGACATTTCCTGGTATTATGCATCAGAAAATTTTCATCGGTAGATCCCTGTTCAACCACAGCTTGGCTCTTCATAGCCAGTTCCAAAATGGCAGTGGATAGGGTTTTATGTATTTTATGAATTTAGGACACCTTTAAAAAATAATTATGCCAGTATAAAAACTTAGATGGAGAAGGTCACAGACATGGCGGCTGTTAGGATGGGAAAGCTGACAACCATACCTGCAGGTCTGATATGTGCATCTATAAGTGTGCATGCAGCTAAAGAAGAAGAATTGAAAAAGCATCTAGTAAAACCAGAGCAGCTCCCCACATATACCACACCACCTCTGCAGTCTAAATATGTTGAAGAACAGCCTGGTCATTTACAAATGGGCTTTGCATACATTCACACAACAACTGGTCATTATATTGACTGGTGCAAGGGTGTTTATGTTTTTGTGAAAAATGGGATAATGGATACAGTACAATATGGAAAAGATGCTTATATCTATCTGAAGAACCCACCTCGAGATTTTCTTCCAAAAATTGGAGTGATTACAGTTTCGGGATTAGCAGGCTTGTTTTCAGCAAGAAAAGGTTCTAGGTTTAAGAAAATTGCTTATCCACTGGGACTGGCCACTTTAGGAGCAACTGTTTACTATCCAGTTCAGTCAGTAATAATCGCAAAGGTAACTGGGAAAAAGGCATATACTACAAGCCAGCAAATTTACGAAGCAGTTAAATCATTGTGGACAAAAAACAACAAAAAAGAGTCACTTTCTAAACTGAAAGAAAAAACTAAGATAGAAGAAAACTCTGCTGAAATAGAAATACCTGCAAAAACA